ATGAGGCAGGTAATGTGGTAGGGCAGTTTGGCTTGAGCAGTCTGTTGATGGTGGAGAAAAGATGTCTGGTTGTTTTGGTGATTTTCAATGATGTGAGAGAAGTAGGTGGATCTAGCAGACTCTATAGTAACCTTATAATCAGATAAGTAATCTCTCCAGGCCTGATAATGTACATTTAGCTCTCTGCAATAGGTTTGGGTAACCTATCCAGCCCCAGACAGACTGCCTTTCTCTTAGTTAGATGTGTCACGACAAATACTTTAATACATATTCATATCTCTCTCTTATTGGTTAGCTCAGTTAGAGCATGGTGCTAGTAATGCCAAGGTTGTGGGTTCGATCCCTGTACTGGCCAGAATAGTTGCTTTTGGGTGGCTCTGTGGCTAGAAGGTTGCTGGTCCATATCCTGTGCGTCGTATAAGTGTCTGGCCCTGTGCTCTGACCCCAAGCTTCTCTCCCTGTCTGTGTGTCTCATGGAGAGCAACTTGGGGTATGTGAGAAAGACAAATTCCTAATACAAGAAATTATATGTGGCCAATAAAGTGATCTTTTTAACCTAAGTACTGAAATACATAGCTATTTCAATACATAGTTAGATACTGCTGTTGACATTACTTAGCTTAGTTGGACTGCACACACATTTCTTTGAAGAAAAAAAAACAGTGACTCACAGATAACATATCTGGATCACGTCTTTCTTGACTAAGGCAGGTAGTCCCCTCTGAGATCCAACCACAGATGCACCAGCATCAGCAGAAAAAGAAGAATTCAGAACTGTTCATTGGTGCTATAAACCTTTTCCAAAATCCTGCCTTAGTAATTCCATGACTTGACATCTTGAATCTCAAAATCAGGTGTAATCTTACACAGAAAAATACACTGATGGCAGAATTCATTAGGTTACTTTCCTGTTCTGCATCCATGGAACAGAATTCAAAATCAAAGACATTTTTATACCCTAGGAATGTAATTAATTCAATCAAGCTGTTGTTTTACCACACAGAAAATGAAGGGGGCTTTGATTCAGATTATTTATACTTTCTGGTATTATTTGTACCAGAAAGCTAATGCAAAGTAAAGTAATCTACATGGGCCAACATTTATATATATAACTGTGTCATAAATATAGTTGAGTGCTCATGATACTTTACTGGTTTTAATAAATAGTTTTTCAATAATATATGTATGCTAAAATGCTCAAGAAGAAGGGACATACTGTGAATTGGCATTATTATATACATTAATACCCCTGTATCAGAACCAAATTTGTTCCTGAAAATCTGTTTGAAATGTGGAACATCATAAATCAAAAATAAAAATTCCATTGTTTCTTATGGGGAATTCCACCCAGTTCCCAACCTAAGTCAAGTTCACTCAAAAAACATTATATCAAGCTTAGTGAACAATGTGTCACGATCGCTACTCCTCCTCTTAAGGGCACTCCAGCCCTTCCTTGTTCTGCCCCATTACCTGCACCTGTTTCTGATTTCTGTTCCCCCTTAAAAGCCAGACGCAGATGTCACCCGAGGTTCCTCATTGAATCCAGTTTCGTGAGAACCCGGGGTCCTGCTGCGTCTGGCTTCGTTATGGTTTTAACCCTCCGTTCCTGATTCCCCCTGCCGGTCCCGACCCGGCTCCTGGTTTTTAACTCCTTTGGATGGATCGTCTGGCATTGGACTACTCTTCTGCTTTGGATTCCCCGTTTTGGATTTAGTCTTTGATTGTTCGCCCCGGACTCCTGCTCACCTTGGA